TCACAACCACTTGGGGAACACATTTTGTCTTAAAAAACACCTCTAGCAAGCCCCGATTTGTGTATTTGGCTTATTTAGGTATAAAGGCATAGGCTATCAGAGTTATTTTGGTCAAATTATCGAGATGAAGCGAGAAATAAAGCATAATTTGATGCTTTGCTCGAGCCTGTCATTCGACAACAAACAGATCGCAGCCAAAATTCACAACCACTTGTGGAACACATTTTGTCTTAAAAAACATTCCATTCCTCGTCGATATCGCTACAGTTTTCGTCATCTTCATCCAATTCTATTTCCAAACAAAACGATTCTTCACTCTCGTCCGCCATTTTTGTTATATCGTGTTGTGACTAGCACTCGACCCAGGAATTACCGAATGTTTACTGGCCGTTGTCATGGTAAGCCAAAAATCAATTAGCCGCGAAGCGCAACGAACATTGATTCGAGATAATTTATTAATTTATTCAGTTGCCAGTCCATCTCTTCCCACGTCCCTGGTGCAATAAGCACATAGTTTATCGTTTTGGAGCAGTTTATTATTGATACTGATGATTATTTCATGTTCCAAAAGGCCTTTGTCAGGATAATTCAAAGTTCCTCGAGATATTCCTTGGYCTCTATTCTCCTTGCATTGATGGCTGGTCAAAGTGCTCTTCGCTATTCAAAATCTCTCTTTCTATTGTTAGCAAGCACATACCCTGCCAGACAGCTATGCTGTTGTACCACCTACAGAGTTGAAGACTGTAATGATATGTGCCCCTTAAGGGTTTACCAGCTTCCCCGAACATTGAGTTATGTAGTATGCAGGATCAACACATGTAATAAACACACTTTTCTAGTTGGATCTACTTCATGGTGTCAGAATTTACTCAACATGGACCACATGAAACCTCTTGAACCCCTAATTCTCGATGAAAATGCAGCCGAACGATGGCGCRAGTGGAAACAACGATGGGTTTTATATTCCAAAGCTAGTGGCGCTGCCGAGAAAGACGGAGAAACACAATGTGCTATTCTCCTACATATGATCGGAGAAGATGCCCTCGAAGTCTATGATACATTCTCATTCACAGAAGATGAAAAGGATGACATCGATGTATTACTTCAAAAGTTTGAAGAGCACTGCTCACCCAAAAAGAATGTCACATACGAGCGCTACAAATTCAACACATGCTCACAAAAAGGCAGACCACTGGATGTTTTTCTCATCGATCTACGAAACAAATCAAAGACCTGTGAATTTGGAGACCTTCAAAACAGCCTAATAAGAGATCGAATCGTGTGTGGAATAGACAACAATGCAGTACGAGAACGGCTTCTACGAGATAATGACCTAACACTCGACAAAGCCATCAGCACCGTRCGTGCCGCCGAAACCAGCCATGCACAAGTAAAAAACTTGACAAACCAACCCGTCGAAACTGCTGYTATCCAAACTTCAAAAGGTRATACTTCAAAGAATACCAACCAACAACCAG